AGCCCTCCGAAATTAGGTTGCTTTGGCCTTGGAGTTTCCGTAGTTCAACTGCGTCAAGCAATATGGCCTTTGTACCTCGGTAGACTTCGACAGGACAAACGGTCCACTCACTGGCATTCATCTACCTAATCGACCTAGACCCTTATATTCATGCCTCCTTGTGAATAGCTTGGTGAATGTACCAGGGCTCCTTTTAATTTATCGTCACGGTTTCTAGTTTTGTATTTCTCATTTAATTCATCTTACGGGAATGGTCAAATACGTGCCGTTTTCATCTGAACTGTCTGTTTTGAAACAGTGGTTTTAGAAAAGAAATAACTAGCGCAAAGTATAAAAAGGTTGGTACTCACATGCCGTCGCTTTTAATCAGTGCTAAAGCTGGGGACCAGAGGCGTGGTGTTGGCTGATCTCTATATCTGCTCTGCATCAGTTATCATAAATAGAACACAACACACACAAATAATGTGGGGGATACGTAATGATGAGAGCAGATTTAATATCGTCAAATGGAAGGAATAGGTTTGTGGAATAGGTCGGATCTCGTACCAGGTGCAAATATTTTCTAGGAATCAGCGGAGTAAAGAAAAGCCCATAACAGCCTAAAAGCAAGTGATTCCACCGGACTGCAGTTGTGGAGGTTCAAGTCAATTCCCAATAGGCATATCGTACCCAGACTGGTCGATTTTCAGCGTGTGCATAGCCGTTGTGAATTGTGTACTGGAATTTGATCTCAGTGATAAGTATGCAAATGAGGAGTAAATTGAAAATATGCGCGCTATTGTCACTCCAGCAACTGCTGTCGTGTAACACGCTTATGAGGTTCGTTGGGTTGCCGCGTTAGCTGTCGAGAACCCACAAGGGGCAAATGCTGTTCAGACACAGTCTAACAATGGCAAATTTACCGCAACAGAATTGGGATAAGCAGTAGGTGGATAATATAGAACTTAGGATTGGTCAAACTGTTCTAAACACAGCCTGATGCACTCTATTGCATTTAGTTAAGTTAGAAAAGCAACCCGTTCGACAAAATCATGAGTACGGATCGCCCGACCAGACAAGGTGCTTGAAAAAGACATCACTTCTGGACTTAATCCTTATGAATGAAGAGTGTCATACGACCCCAATATGTATTGAAAAACTATTAGTCCTAATGTTTGCCTATGTGGGTTATGCTAGGATTGTTGATAAAGGACAACAACTTCGACGAACTAGTACCGGTCATTCCAACCTTCACAACTTAGTATCAGCCGTTGACCGGGACCTCCAGCCGCGGAGAACGACTCATGGAATGATATAAAAGGTAAAATTAACAGCGTCATGCAATCAGTCTCAAAAGTTGAACCATCATGAGTGTAGCGCTGGACCAACACCTGGATCCAATGTAGAGCACGTAAATGGATCAACGGGAGAGACGATATTTGGAGGCCTATGTGATAGCATTTAGCAGAATACAATGTAGTCAGAAACAACTGTATGTCACTCATTAGAACCGAGAAGTATGAATGGCTGATCATGGTAGATAAGCTTACGAGCAACATCAAACCGGTTGTGAGTTGTGTGAATGACAAAAGTAAGGTTAAGACCGGAATGCCACTACTCAAGACGGTCAGTGGCCTAACTACTACCGTGGATATTGCCAATGCTTTACCCTTGCAGTCTGGCCCAGTGGCTAGAAATATCACGGAATCTTCGCCCTAGCATCTCTAAACAAATGTCGTCGGTTTATGCAGTTTCATCTCTACTTCAACAGCTCTCGTAAGCAAATTACAATTTCTCTGGGAAAAAAGTGTACTGGGAATAGACAAGATCGGCCCAAAAATTTTTAAAACCTTATCTCCCACTAAAGCAGTAGCTCTTGCAGCTTTTACCCAAGGTCTGCTTGACTGCCGTTCACTCCCACCTGAAAGGAACCATAGCATCCCCACTCCGATATACAAGGGAGGTAAGCGACCAAATCCTTGCAATAGCGACCTATTACTTTCCTTCCTATTTTGGCAAAATTAATAGACTCGATAATCACAGATGAACTGACGCGATATTTTGAAATGTTGCAAATAATTTCTAGTGTGCAACATGGCTGCAGAAGCAGACGACCTTGCCTCACCAACCTGTTCCCTCCTCGGAACTCACGTACCAGCGTAGCTGACGAGGAAGTATTCATGGATGTGGTCTATTTTGATCTCCTAAGGCGTTCGACAGGGTCAATCACTTCATGCTCATTCACATACCTACGGTATCACCGGTTCTCTGTCCACCTGACTGAAAAGTTACTAATATGATAAACCCTAAAGACTGAAATCGTCAGCACCCACTGCGGAGGCCTGTTCAGCCAGTGGTGTGCAGCAAAGATCTCTCCTCAACCCACTACCGTTTTTAGTCGAAATCTGTGACATCCTAGCAAATATTCAGTCTCCAATGCAACTATTACAGATGATGCTAAGATTTGGAGAGGAATGCGCTTAACATCAGACCATGCCTATCTCCAGAACGACCTGGATCTGATTAACGAATGGGTATAAATGAACAAGCTTCCCCTGAACCCTGCAAAGTGCAACCTACTGACACAACGCAGCAGCTTCAACAACACACATCAGTTGGTATAGCACATTCTACGTGCTAGTGACTAGTGAAAGAGACTTAACCATCCTCGTCCGAAAAAGTGTGTGCATTTCGTTGCAATATTCGAGAGCAGCAAGTGTGCTGAATTTAAATCTAACGCTTTTGAGGCGAGCACTTGGTACCTTTGAGAGGCTGTTAGTACCCAAGCTGTTTAACTCGCATATTCGTTCCTACGTTAGGTTTGCAGCTCAAGCCTGATATCCGTGGTTAAAGTGAGAAATTTGTTTCTCGGAGCAGCTCCGAAGAAGAGCCCCCAAGGCAACACGTGGACTACCCAGTCTCAATGATGAACTGCGCCTTCATTTAACGGTGTGCTCTCAGAATACCGAAAGCTGCGGGGTGATCTCATTCTCACATGCTGAATACTAGCAGAAAACCATCATCCATAAAAATCACTACTGACCCTTGCCTTTTACGAAAAGTGCCGAAGCTCCAACCTGAAACCTTTAAATCGTTACTCCCGTTTTAACTGCAGGGTGCATTTTTACTCTCATAGAGTCTGTTCAAACCGGAATGCATTGCCGGACCATGTGGGGAACGTACCAAACATTCGAAAGATTATTCCATTGTCATCTGAGTGCTAAACGCTACGCAACAGTACCATAAAAGGTCGTACCTAGGCTACAGCAAGTTCACCTTTCACATCGGAACAATCTGATTAGATTTGCTTTTATATTTGTCATCCTGTGGATCCTGCGAAGCTGTTACTTTTATCCCTTCATACACTATTGAACCATTGAGTTCCTTAGCTACATTAGACCGCTGACTAGTGTGGAAGTTAACGGATAGCTGAAACTTATTTCCCCTAATTTGAACCTAACGATGGAGAAACGCTTTGCTACCCTGCATTGAGAACACCAGGTTTAACTGCCAAAACACTATATCGCCAGACCGTTGGAGAGGTAGCGGGTAACTCGTTAGGTTCGGTATTGAAGGACCTGTTCACGTCGCTGACGGGAATGCTGAGGGACACAGAACCCTCTCCGCCTTCATGCCACAGGTGATAGTTGACCATATCTTGGTGGTCTGTTCATCAGCCAAAGTCAAACGCTTTATCAACAGTTTCAGTAACTTACACACTAAGTCAACACACACAAACGTTTCCCATTTTTGGACATGCGGAATTATGGCAGAGTAAGTGGTCTTAATCCGAGTTTTGTTTGCTAAAATCAGCTTGATCCATGAGGCACCTACATTCTACTAGCTCACACCATTACAGTGCAAGCTTATTTTAGTTAAGCCAGTATTTAGCTGTTCGTGAAGAATATGCACATCCGACACCCTGGAGAAGAATTGGAGATTTCGCCAATGCGCCACTGGGAACTTACTTTCCAAACATGTTAAGCACAAGGCATAACTTGATGAGGGCAGCAAACAAGATGAGACTCACAGGACAGCATAAGGGAACCTACATGATTTTTTCCTTAGGTATAGATTTTTCTACCATGAGAACATTAAAACGCATAATTTCAGGTGTTTATGGTATTGTTTTTTGATCAGGCGGGTAGATTGCATTTTGCCCCATGTGAAGAGGAGCACTCCATCTGCGCCAAGTTATCGAAGTTGTGAAACAAGGTACCTAGGCAAAGTTGGTTGGGCAATGAACTTTGGAGCAAAAAAGCAAACATAAACATGCGTCTAGCAGTAAATCATTCACTCCTCTATTTCTCATCCCTCATGTACACGAGGATGTCACACTCGTATTCAAGTGGACATCAAGTGGACACCAAACTAGCATTTGTTTGAGTTTAACGTAACGTTTAACATAGTGCTGAGATGTGCTGCAGCCCACCGCTTGCGTCTCCTTGAGGCTACTGTGAGTAGCTGGGCAAAGCTTTAGTGCTGTTTTCGAAAGCATATTTTTCAGTCTCATGCACAACAGGCACAAAGCACTACATCTGTCTTCCCCTTATAATCCAATACTGATCGGTTGCACTCTTGCGTAGTTAGATATTTGTCATTTATTTTGATGTTGATGATAACCTACTATCGTGATCAAATACTTCAAATACTTTGTTCAAATACTTTGAACACGACACAAACGAAATAGGCTGCATCCGCCAGGTTTCATTCTACCATCGTGTTATTTGAATGGCACCTCGTTTACATCCACTCAATATGATCATCCTATTCATGCCATAAATGTTGCATTAAGGTCCCAACGCTATTCCCACTGATAGCTGTTGTTAAACCAGATTAAGCAAGTTTTCTTCGCCACCCAGTTCTTGTAGAACACACTACAAATGAGTAGACCAAATGAACGAACCAACGGTTGTGTGGAATTGACAGCAGTTCGCAAATGAGACAACCAATTCATTGATTCGTTGGTTTCTATAGAACAGGAAGGAAATCTTTGGTCAGCTCCCTCATCCACTACTCACCGTCGAAGTGTCAATATTGTTCCTTTGATTCGTTTGCCTTTTTCACCGATATCCTCCAGTTGGTGTAGCTGCTCATCCAGGAGTCTAAAACACAAGCATGATAAGCAAATAACCACGTATTAGAACAATAATGTTGAAAAGCAACAAAAGACACTATATGAGAGCCAGTAAATGAAATGCACCTGATGCAGTACCGCATAAATCCGTCATCACACTAGATGTACACCAATGTTATTTAAAGGAGATAAGTGCGATTTTTTGCAGGTAAGGGGTGAAGCATTAACCGGCCTCACGCATGTTAAGAATTCCAGTGAAATACGACACCAATTGCGACGACGCATTGTCGCGCCTCACTTGTTGTTGTTGTTGTTTTTGTTTTTGTTTTTGTTGTTGATGTTGATGTCCATGTTAGTTGGTCACCACTTTACGGTCTTCGAAGCCAGTCAAAGGTTTCTGAAATAACCACTTTATCTGGCTTCTATGTAACCGGAACGACTTGACCTGTACTCACGCAGAAAGTTACATCACTCTCCGAACCCAGTTGAATTGATTGTTGAAACTTTCCCTTGCTGCATGCGCTTTTCACCCTCTGGTAATGAACATCCGAGAGGAGATATTTTCAGACAGTACCGTTTGGCGGATGGGACATTGGCTGACATTTCGTGTCTAGCAAAATGGGGATAACTGTGTGGCCAGGTTTTCTAATTAGGAGGAGAATAAAAATCGTTCACCTGCTACATTTACACGTGAGATGTACGCTCCGTGCTGTCCCAGAGAAACTACAGACGTTCAAATTAATGACAGATAGTGGTAGACCGAAGAATTCCATGATTTTCACCAGGTGTCTCTACTGGTGGAAGGCAACTTTGGGATTTGTTTGCTGTACGGTGAAATACATTTTGTCAGTCTAGATACATGAGATCACCCAGTGCATGGCGAGTAACACTCGAATCTTTCAACTACTAATGCTGCAATTTTTAGCAAAATGAGGGACTTTTCTTGAACAACCTGAGGTAAACCAGTGTCGAGCATCGTTGTGAAAGTTTTCGGTCGCACTCAGCGACCTGCCTCAACTACTGGCACATATGCCACCGTGATAAACCAAACCACGGCGTCCTGCATCCGGCTGTGAATACAAACGATTTTAAAAGCAATTACCAAATGTAGGACAGTCGGAGATAGCGAAAGCTTCCCTGCTTAGCGACAAAGTAATTTGCTTATATGAAGTAAACTATGGTATGCCAACAATTGGAACAACTCGATAACAAATGAGAGTTATGTCCAAGAGATGGAACATGCGCGCAGCAGGCTACGCTGATGGTGGTCGGTGGTTTCAGTGATCAGTTGATAGTGACAACCGACTCAGTACCCAAAGCCGGCGTAATTCGGCACTCCATGATCCCGCTGAAATTGGATAACGCAGTAGAGGAAAATAGGTACAATATATTTATAGCGTTTACCTGCGGTACCAGAGTTCAGTCCAACTTCGTTATCATTCACAACTGATTTGTAATACCAAGCGACCAAGCCACCACTAACTGTTTAGACTTGGTGTTTACTATTGCTGTCCACAGGAAAACCAATGCCACTAGTGTTAGAACATGACCTGTCTCGCAATCATGCAGCACAGTGACTGACCGTCAAAAAGCATCACGGGACTCAGGAATTTGCACTTCGCAACTAGTCCGAAGTTCCATGTGACCAGTTACCTTCAGCATACCGCTTTACCTGTCGTCTGAGTTGGCCAGTTTTCATTGTTATTGGAAGAAAAGCGAAAATTAGTGGCAGATTTTTCTCATGGCAGGCGAACTGTTCGCTAAGCTTGGCAAGTTTGTTTTTGTTATTTTTGCTTAACCGAGTATGATCAGTCAGCAGGGGCCAGAAAACTGGTTATAATCCAGCGGATGCAGTTGATGTGTAGAGAACGCATAAGATGTTTTGCTTCACCAACTGCTACCTTCGTCTCCAACGGTAGTGAAGTGTTGTATCTTCAAGTCATCCGTTCGCCACCTCAGCTGATGGCTATCATGGGTGGCCACACGTAGCGGTAAAATAAAGCCTACTGGTTCAGGTGGAATATTAAACCATAAGGATTAATGTTTAGCTGATAGACTAGTATAACCAATTCAAATTACACCAAGTGGGACATACCTTTTCTCCAGCTCAATGGCTCTGAGTTCTGCCTCCTGCTGGTTCACTAAACGCTGGCGGATCTCAGGGTAAATCACTTGAGCGTTCCAGATTGCGGTCATCAGCAGTTGTATAAATGGGACCATTGGTTTAGAAACAGCAATGAAACACAAAGGAATGAGTTCGATAGTTAATCTGAGGTGGTTGAGGCATTCGTAAATTAAACGAATTTTTGATGTAGCTTATTCCCCAAAGAATTGAAATAATCCTGTCGTGCACCGTGTCGTTATAATGGTCAATCTCATTTTGGCTAGCATCAATGGAATGCGTAAATTTTCAGCGCTTTATTTGCTTGTCTATAGTTGTCCGTTGTAGTCTTTAAAATTAAGAAAAACAAGTTCCCAACTAAACTTGGAAGAATAAGCCTGAAATGCATGAAAGATTGAACAATGGTCGATTCAATCGACTTCTTTCACCAATGTACAGGTTAGTCCGTGCTAGAATACTCCCAGAAATTGTAATCCAAATAGTATCCCTAGAGCACACCCGAAATTGTGCACACATCAGACGTAACAGTCCGCCAGTCGCCTATCCTCAGTAGCAGAAGAAAAATACGAAGCAGTTGAACACAACGTGATGACCGATCCATATCCCTCTCAGAAAGCTGAGCAGGTAAAACAGCAAAAAAGTGCAGCCGCCAGTGTTGGCAACGATTCGTTAACTGCGGGACTCCAATGAGGATATTAGTTTCATACTGATGGGCACTTACATACATACAAATAGAGTCGAAGTGACCCAATTTTGGATCAATGCAGACTCGCAGTGTAATCTTAGTCTTCCTTATCAACATGACTCAGGGACGACGTTCCACACTCATGTTGTTTACATGAAAATTACCATGAAGTTTTCTACATGGCAGGACAGCCATAGTGCACGTCGCGCGTCACCACAGCTTCCTCTCCAGATTTAGCCTGACGTGATGTTGCCCTTACTATCATCCCACATGCAGCGGCTCACAGTAAGAGTCTGTGGTCGATCAGCGGACGCAGTAGAAGAAGGCGCGTGAGCATAGCAGTCTGGTTTGCTTGAATCGTCAGTGTGATGCCGCACTGAGGATTAAGCGCCCATTGCATCTGTATCAGCTACAAAATGAAGATAGTAAACACGAATATTGAATCCACTTTTCTTGTTAACTGAATTATCAAATCACGGACTAACCGTGGCCATTAGTGCTATCACATTAAACTGTTTTAGTCACGTCGTTCCCTGATGTAGCGTAGCTCCGGATGTTCGCAGAACGCTGCTCACCTCAATATGTCTTACATGAAAAGGATCTCGGACGACGTACTACTCACTAAACCCGCACAACTGCATGTTTCCGCTATAATTTCCGTCATGTAACAGAAGCAGGTGCACTTTAAAACAACTCTTGGTTTTGATAAAAATACGTATTGTTGACCATTCTTGCAAATGATACCTCAAACAAATCAATATCGTAAAGCCACATTTTGTAAGGGGACACATTGCACCAGCACCAGTATTCTGAACCTACATTTGCTAATGAGAATCCAAAGATTAGCCCCGTTTCATGAGTACGGTCCCCTTGACCCATGCAACAGTGTTTAATGAGCAGCAAAATCTTCCATGCTAGAGAGCTGGTCTATGTATTATGGGAACAACAACGCACGAGTAAACTCTTCCACAAGTGTGTAATCTTATCCACTGGGTATACCGAGCCTACAGGACAGCTTAGTGCTGGTCTCGTAGTTCAACGAGAAATCCGTACACTTTATACCATGGTTATGTATCAAATGCAGCACCCACCCAAAGTGATTCCTGTGGGCAAGGGCCAAGAGTTGCTGCAGTAGACCAGTACAGCTGTTTGTATATTCGTCCAACTACATTGGGTGACCAGGGAGGACGCAACCGGTGACAAAGTGAGGGCAGTCTGACCGTCACAATGGCATCCTACTGGGGCAAAGGGTCTAACCCACCACACAGGTTTAGCATACTCACATATCTATCACGATACATAGCTGTATAGTAAAATATGACTAATTATGAAGAGCTGGAGAGTACTTCTCAGATCTAAGAAAGAGTAGAACTCTCAGGATACATGTGGTCATAATTTGTCTATCTTGGACGTCCGTGCTTCAAAAAACCTCGTAATAAGCTGCGGATATGCATTCTGCAGCCTGCAGTACCATTGTAATTAGCGTGCATCAAGATTAACATACTGATACACTAGCGTTGGATATAATCTGTTTAACAAGGGTACAAGGTCACTCAATCATACAAGCCGATGAGACACAGTGTTCATTTTCGATTTAGACTAATCGCCTGCCACTCTCTCTGTCTTCGCAATGGTCGAAACGGCTCATTAAAAGTCGCAAATGCGCTAAATAGGCATGCTGCCGGAGGGTAGACATAAATTGAAATATGTTTGGACAAACGTTCATAACAGTATACTTTTAGATTTGCGCTTATTCAATGAGGCAAGACAGGTATTTCGGTAAAAGCGTTAGGTCCTGCAAAGGTTACATCCGCCTGCTGAACAGGGACATGACCGACTACAGTAGGCCGTGGTAATCGAATGAGTCAATTTTTTCACCATGAACTACTCCTGTATCACCAAGCAGCCGTTGATGTGGCACGACGAATGGTTGCAGGCGTTTGGCTGGACGGATTCGGTGGATCTGATCTACATTGCTTTCAGTAAAACATTCGACAATGTGAATCATGAAGTCTTCCTCAACAAGCTGAGGATGTGCGGTGTTGCTGGCTCACTACATAAGCGGATCAAGGACTTCCTCATTAGGCGAAAATGGAGCTTAGAGGTGGATAACCATCTAACGGGTTAATGCCCTTCTAATAGTGGCGTACTGTAGGATATAGTGCTGAGGCCCACTTTGTTCCTGAACGAATTAAACGAAGTAGCTCAGTTTCTAGGGTCGCCCCATACATTGTTTGCAGATGACTTGAAGATTTGGATAGTAATCGATGCTTCCGAGGAATGCAACGTAGTTCAACAGGACCTCGACCGCCTGTCCGTTTAGTTTGCAGGAGTAGATCTGTGATTCAACCTAGTCAAATCGCTATATACTCGGCCAGGGAAGGGTGGTGATGCTCGTAAGTGCACTCTGCTCGTTCAACCGCTGCATCCCACACTTTTGTGTAGGATCATAATAGTTCAATAGTGTAATAGTTTGTTGGTGTATGATGGGATACAAAGCACAAATTTACAGAACCCACGGGATGGTTATGCAAAATAAAACTAAAATCAAAATGTTCCGGTTTGGAACGTGAAGTATCGGTAGTTTAGTCATCGCACTTTATCCCTATATGGTGTAGTGTTTATCCTTAAGATGAATGTCTAATAGGTTTTCGAATGTCATGATCTTTGATGCGTTCACCATGTTTCAGTGGTGCATTTCAGTGGGAACAGGTACTAAAGTAGTAAATATACTTTCTATAACCCAAACAAGAATGTTGCGTTGCTATCTTCAAGTGGTGGCTTCAACATTGATCATAAAGGTTCGCACCGACGAAACGCTCGCAGCCAAACCGCTGACTGAATTACATCAGAACAAACATCAGAACCGATCACTATCCATCCCTTTGTATTTTAATCTACGATTTTTAGTGGTCCATAAACGAATAAATGAAAACAACTGTTTGCATCAAACCGGTGTTCTTGATGGATCGCTTAGAAAGTTACGTATATTAGTAACATACCAAACAAGTATGCATTAGGAACTATCGGCAAGACTGTCGATTCCAGGCTCAACTGCGGCGCAGATCGAATGCGCTTTGGGTGGGGTCAGGCTTAACTACAACTGGTTACATTGTAGCCAGGCCCACTTAAGCTTGGAGATGCCATCGTGAGCAAACTGCAGCGGACCACAGCTATCCGCTCGTCTAGGTGCATAATGCGTCCGCGCGCGCTAGCACTAGACAACGCGGCGTGAGAACAAGTGCTGATTCGCGAAATGGTCCAAATTATGAAGCACGTGACGTAGAGGAACTGCGAAGTCAACGTAGGTCCGGAGACAAGAGCAACGCATTCGCAGCACTGAGCATGTCCGATACACATAAGTGAGACAGCGCGTCGGGAGTGTGGGGTGGGATCGAGCCTGCTATGAATGAGGTCAAGACGGTCTCACAAAGCGGGCTTGACGAAGAAAACCAGGTTCCTGTTTGATGCTAGGGCACACGTAGAGCACAGGAGCCGAAGTCAATCATGTTGAGTGCGCTTGCAAGGAGTTGATTGGTTGCCTCATTTTGATGCCGTTTCTGTCTGTCTCGACCAGACAAGGTCCTCTCATTAAGGGTATGACGATATCGCGCCTAAGATGCCCCATAATACAGCGTGCAAAGTCTAAAAGAGCTGATGGGTGGTAGATTGTTTCACTTTTCTGTAGTGGATGGTGGTATCTTCTGGGCTGACCAATCAAGAGGTCGTCTTGTATCACTTTCGCACGGCCCCTTAAGCGCTCGTCATATCTCACTGGCATACAAGATTACTACTTGATTCGAGGCGGTTACACTTGTAAACTCTTTTCGAAAAGACAGAGATAGACGCGGATGAAGGGCTGCTTTTCGTGGTACTGCGCACTCATTTCAGATCTAATGGAGCAGGAATCCTCCATTCCCCTGTCACTTAGAGGCGCAGCTCACGCTACCGCCCTATCTCTGAGGCAAGTTGTCAATATCATAAGGAAGGGGAGGACTTCTGGTGCAACGGAATGTCTACAAAATGCTCAACCTAACTTTTGATTGGTTCGATTATATACCGCATTGACGACTGTTCCTCAGGTATATCTGTATGTGTCACCCCTACGATTCATACAGGTAAAATGCTATCCAAATTGATAAGACAGCTCCCGAACGGAATGATCTTCACCAACTTTAGGCCGGATAAGTTGTCAGATAGGTGTTTGATTACAGCCTTGTAAATGATCTGTCCACAATCCAGGGACAGCTTCTTGTGCAATCAGGAAATATACGTATTATTATTTAGTATGAGATGTTCGACCAGAGAAGCACAAAGTCCAGCTCGCGGCCCAAATGCAGCCCTTGTTAACCTTTTAGCTAGTTCGCAGTCTCATCATGGAATGATAAGTTCAAGCTTGGACATTTTTCGTACATGTGTAATTTTTGTTGTTATCTTAGTGTCGGACTGAATATGGCCCAACATACTTTTACTTCACAAAATGTGGCCCTCCTTGCAACATGTTTGGACACCCCTGTGTCAGGTGGTCAGCTCTATCGCTTTCCTTTTCATGTTGCAAACACACACACATACACACTGAAACAGCTAGAGCACCTGCGCTATTTCGTTGACAACACAGGATTAAATTACTTCCAGCTGGCGTTGTGGGATTAGGGGTGATGTCAGTCTGGAGATCACAATCCGTCAGAAAAAAGGAGTTGTCTCGGTAGTTGGTCAGTGACTGGGTGAAAACTGACCTGTGCTTGGAGAAAGAAGTGGAGCAACGGACCGGTTTGATAGTGACATTGAGACTACTCTTAGATGGACGACTTTTAGTGTTGTTCCGAGTGTCGTAAGGCTTCGGATATAAAGTTATGTTCCACTTATTGTCGCACTGTTAGTCTGGTGAGTTTTCGTTTCTGACGTTGCAAAAGAATCAGTTTACTTGGGCGTTGGCGTTTGAGTGACCATCAACTAGTGCATCGAGGGCTTCTTTCCCATGAATTTTGTCGGCAATATAAGGAACCAACTACTGTTCCGGAAATAGCTGATGGTTCGATACTCTTTTACGTGGCCATGACATTTGCTATTTGGCTCCCATTTTACTTTGGCATCGTTAAAACCGTCTATATCGGGAGATATCCGAGGTAGATTTCACGTTGCGGCTTAGATGTTTGCAGACTGCTGATGAATAGGATATCGCTGTAACATTAGCGGTTGACATGGAAGTTCACAGGATGATACGCCCTTTGGCTATGCGATCACTGAGCTCTCATTTTTTGATGCTTGGTTTTGTGTCTATTCCAAGCAGGCGTCTTGTCCGATTAACGTATCTTTTAACAGCAGACTAGTTATTGTTTCACACTCAAGAAAGCTTTTCTCGTCGAGTTCTTCATGCTTGTCGATGGCTACATAGTGATTCAGTGTAAGTGTAAGCTGCGTGGTTGCGGGAGGGCGAGTGTGAAAGATAGGCGAACGATTGCCTAAATCAGAGCTCCAGTCTTGTTGGAAAGAGCGTAAGCGGTGACTTTCAGAAAGCGCATTTTCATTCTTAATGACAATGTAAATTTTCCATTGTTTACTGACATATCACTTAATGTTACACCTTCAGCAAAGAGCTCTCATCAGCATCACCATGCGAATTGCTGTCAACATGGTGCTCCAGCTTGTGTGTAAGCGGTTTATTTTTGCATGGATTCAGGTGGGGTTTAGGTAAACTATTACCCATAATTGAGCTGATGTGTCTTTCTCGGACGTGCAAAACATGTCATCCCGGGGTCATAGGATTAGCATCAATCATGACGGACTTGCATTGCGTAGACGATAACATGACTGGTCCGCTTCGAATACATTTAGCTGCATTGGATGGATTGGGGAATTCTTTTTGTGTAGATTCATTGCAGTTAGACACAGACTGACAGCCACCACACATTCAGGATAGCGCTAGACGGCCGTTGGGTCCTATTGGGACTCGTCCTGCCGGATTCGAACCCACGACCTTACTCTTGCCAGTCAGCGACTTATGTCACTGAGCCATGGGCGACGGCAGCGGACCGCCATGACTGATATCTAACTGCGATATAGCGCGGCTCATCCTCCAAGGTCTTACATGTTATGGAATTCTTGTGGAGTCACACCACGCTGCAGTCAATCACTGTTAGTGTACAAGCCTTAAGTAAAGTGAGCTGCACAGAGTTAAATGGATATCTGCCGGAGACATGTAAGACGAGTGCATTTTGCAATTGGATAGTCCGTCCATGTGGCTCAGTGAATATTCTATCTCTTAGGTTACACGCGTGCAGTATGTTCGGTGGTGAGGAATTACGTGACGTTCCCCCTTTGAATGACAGTGGGGTAAGGTATCTTGTCAGTGGCTCGAAAACGGAAACCTTTCACTAATGCATGATCAACTCATTTCATACGTTCGTTAGGTTGCTATTCGTCTCTGGAATAATATCGGCTGTTTCGACATTTCGTTGCTTCACACAGTTGGGTGGTTTCCGCTTCTGCGAAGCTATTTGCCTCAACACAGCCTTTTCGAATAACAACTTCTTAGTACCATTGGGATAATTGACAGTCATAAAAACAGTTTTACTTCAGTTGTGACAAAGTTGCTAAAGTAAGCCAAAGTAACGGGCACCCGCAATGTTGTCGGTCGATAAGAGATAGCGACGCTGATAGTGGATAGATTGAAAAATTTTCCAGAATTTCAATTCAGAGCTTTGGATAGAACAAGCACCACAGTAAACCGTGTGAGTGGGCACATCACCAAATGTGAAGCGGTTCAGGGATTAGTGATAATTTGCATTTACTGATCTGCACGCAGTTGCCGGAGTTGGGGATTTAATTAACTGGCAGCTTTCACAATGCGCTCTGATTTATTTCCTAAGAAAGTGAAATCACCATGCGAGTCAGTACGCGTCAGTTACTTACATATACGACCTGCTCGTTAAAGGAATTATGCTTAGTATCCCAACCGTCATGTCTGTTTGACCCTAGTTGGTACGTAATCACTGCTCTTCCCGAAATGTCGGTCGGTGGTCGAGTGGTCTGCACGCCTGGCTTGCAATCATGAGCTCACCGGTCCGAATTCGCGTAACGGCGGGCGTCTTCGCGGTATACTCAGTTCACGTCCGACTGGTGGTGGCCGCGCGGCAGCGAAGCGTTATTACGGTCTACAGCTGGCACATTTAATGTATAAAATTTTATTCTTCACGAAATGGTTTAATGTAGGACAGCGGCGGACGACAGAAGTTAGGTACACAATGGCGCAATGACACGATACCTGGACCGACGGCTGATAAAGATGAGAAAGTCACACGCAGATTCAGAAACGGTAAATCCAGGGGAGAAAAATGGACGAAGAAACCCCTACGTTTTGGTGTTGCTATAATTGAATGTCGAATGACGATAAGCATAGTGGGCCTATTTCAAGCGCTTTCGTTCTCGCATCTGTGGTCATTCACTGAGTAGAGCTTGTACGTAGTGTAAAGTGGTCAAAATCAGAGGGAAGAAGGTACATTTTTTTGGGTTCAATGACAACCTATGGCCTGGTAGAGTTTACCATTAACGCTGTGCGACATCCCAGCCAGCACTGCAGCTGCCGTTTTGTTTGATTTTTGTAAGGTCCTTGAGGCCAGTCATACAGGCAGCCCAGTGGCGTAGTGACTAGTTTGTCACCCGGGCTTCTCGTAAGATTTTCGCCACCCCCCCTTGGCAGTAGTAAATCCGTAAGCTCTTACAATTACGAACATCCCCTCAATATTTCGTTTCTTCGTGGCCTTAAAGAGATGACTTGTCTGGTCGAGACAGACAGAGACGGCATCAAAATGAGGCAACCAATCAACCGCTTGCAAGCGCACTCGGAGTACCAACTCAACCTTGACTTCGACACCCGTGCTCTACGTGTGCCCTAGCAACAAACAGGAACCTGGTGTTCTCCATCAAGCCCGCTTTGTGAGACTGTCTTGACCTCTTTCATAGCAGGCTCGATCCGCCCCACACTCCTGATGCGCTGTCTCACTTATGTGTGTCGGACATGCTCAATGCTGCGAATGCGTTGCTCTTGTCTCCGGGCCTATGTTGACTTCGCAGTGCCACTACTTCATGTGCTCCATAATTTGGATCATTTCGCGAATCAGCACTTGCTCCCACGCCGCGTTGTCTGGTGCTAGTGCGCGCGGACGCATTATGCACCTAGACGAGTGGATAGCTGGGGTCCGCTGCAGTTTGGTCACGAGGGCTTCTCGAAACTTAAGCGGGCCTAGCTACAATGTAACCAGTTGTAGTTAGGCCTGACCCCACCCAAAGCGCATTCGATCTGCGCCGCAGTTGGGCTTGGATTCGATAGTCTTACCGATAGTTTCTAATGTATACTTGTTTGGTATGTTACTGTCTGATTTGGGATTGGTCACAACGAACTCCACGCATTTATGTGCGCGTGCAAATCACTGGATGCAGTTTGAATCTCTTGTAAACCAAGTTGAGCGCTCTTACGTAGGAATATGTGTTGATTTAGTGGCAATTCGACTGCATAATTGACGTAATTTTCTGTCATAGCGTGTAGTACCCATGATGTTAACTTTGACGTTTCGTGTAACAAACCGAGGGTTTCCACATTGAAGACTACCTAACGAATATCTCGGCATCTGCTCTAGCACTATTTGTGTTACGCTGATAATCTGCATAGCATAAACATTAAATTCTTTCCAATAGTTCACTTTTCTAGTGTTAGGTGCCCCGTTTGCAAGTAATCAAAAATGTCAGTTTTTCATGGGCAGCATTTCCTTAAGTGACAAGATTATGGGAAATCTGTCGTTGCTTACCACACGTGGAACCGACCGCTCGAGTGATGGAATCCAGGCGACTGTCTAACGTCTGCACGTACGGTAGTGTAATGCGGCATCGGTGTTGAAGCACATCCTTGCCGGTCTGTTCAATAACGCACTCAAGATCGTGCAGTTGTTCAACCAAACTGGCTTTAGATTCCCGCAGATCTGTCAACATTCGGTCTAGGGATGCGCGATCTTCACGCACCGCTTTTAATCCGGGATCTGAACAGACACTAACTTGCGTGTTCCAGTGATTCAACAGTTTCTGAGGTTGGAATGAGATAAAACAATTAGCAAGTTAAAAGAAGTGAACTTAGCACCCTGTGGTCGGAATATTGCTCCCAAAGCGAACTATACAGGCACACTTACCACTGTATGCTCTCGACACGTTTTCAACTCCATCGAAATCTTTTGTTTGAACTTTTTATGCAATTGACGTAGGTAGTCGATCGATTGGCGGCACTCTTCCAGTTGAACTTTGTTTGCTATCAATAACCGACGGTGCTCTGAAACAGAAGTTAAACGCGGATCTCAATTCTGAGAGGACGTTGAATTTCGAATTACCATTTAAGCAGTGCTACGTCTCAAAATAAGGACAATGGCTGCAAGCATGCAGTTGAACAGTGAAGCCTAATACCTCAGACATGACTGATCACTGGGGTACCACGCAATAATCACCTTAGTTCCCCTACGAGATACAGAACGGGGAACAAACCGGCCATTTTGGACCTAATTTTCACCAATGAGGAAATTAAGGTCGACACAGTGACAGTGAGTAGTCTCTTGGGGTGCAGTCATCATGCAACACTGCTTTTCCGCGACCTCTGCTACGCTAAACTGTCCAACAAGGAAATCGAAGAGGTCCACACAATGACACATCACAACACTGTATCCGACCTCATTAAGATCATTGTTTGGTTGTTCCTAACAGAACAACCCCTCGATGTCTCTGGGGAAACTTCGTCCATCGGTTCAATACCTTAGCAACAAACTTAGTAGAGAGTATGTTCCTTAGCTCAGAAGGTAAAGTCCTTCCCGAGGAGCAGGACACGGAAACGAATGGCCATGAGCTAATTGTTTGGGAAGCATCCCGATCCGATCCAAAAGCCAGAAACTGAAACGCCTACCTAAATGAGCGAAAGCACTGTGTGAAACTTTCCCACGAAGATAAATTGAAACAGCGACAAGACTTAGCGGAGGAGTTCCGCTGCAATCCTAAACCACTTTACAGGCTTGTTCATAAACTTCCCTCCTCTAAACACCGTCTGTTGGCAAGCAAAAAATGCCCAAGAAGCAGCTAATGCTCTTAGACATCATTCGCTTGCACTTTCCAGAACCCATCGTCATCTCATGTCATTCTGACACATATCACACCACCACTAGGACTTAGCCACATCTCCTTCACAGCCGCGGATATGCTGAAACCACTGAGGTCACTACGCGAGTACAGTTCACCTGGTCCGGATAGCATACGACCCAAGTCATTAATAGCAGTTGCCACCAGCTTGACTGAACCATTGTCTCAGTTGTAAGGGCGCTCCTTGGACGAGGTGCAGGTCACATCAATGTGAGAACGTGGAATAATAACCCTATTTAGAAACGAGGCAATCGCACAGTCCTAGCAAACTTCCGCCCGATTACTGTTCTTGTATTAAACTAAAGTCAAGAATCTGTCGTTGCAGATGCACTTATACTTGCACTGATACTTAGACAAATTAAATGTCATCGTGTAAGAGCAGCATGGATTCCACCAACACCGCTCATGTACCTCTTGTTAGCGCGTGCCAGCTGGACGGAATCCGTCGAGGCTGGAGAAGGAGTTGACGCCGCTTACCTTGTTTTCTTGAAGGCATTTGATCTCCTTGATCACCGGATTCCTCTTCACAAACTTCGGAGCCATACGTTCTTTAAACCTATTCTAGGCTGCATTCAATCATTTCTACTCCAACGGCGCTTGAATGTGCGGGTTTGTATCCCCCTGCCTGATACGACAGACGTACATTGTGGCATCCCTCAAGACTCGGTACTAGGACCACAGCCATTACTAGTGTTCAAAAACGACCAATCGGGAGTATTGACGCCAAAATTTATAATTTTTACGGACGACCTCAAGATGTGGTAGGCAAACAAACGAGTAAACCAACACATAGCATTGTAAGGTGATCCAGAAAGGGCTTACTAGTGCAAGTGCATGCGCAAGCGCATGCTTGCGCTTAACCCTGTCAAGTGCACTATACTGGGCATACGCCACCAAATCACCTACCAATATTGACTGGAAGAACACGTCCTGCACTGCGCTTCACATGAACTTGATCACAGAGCGCTCGTACAAGATGATGTTGGATGCTCAGAACCGGTGGAGAAGGTAGTGAAAAAAGCCAACCAACACTTGGGTCTAAAACGGAGGGCATTTGGCCGGTCTGCTATCAACTTTATTCCTAAGTGCTCAACTCCTACGTGAGGCCACATGCAGAATACACCATTTAGTTGGGACACTTGGCAAAACCATGACGTCGCTGCTCTTGAGAAGCTACAACAGAGCGCGACAAAATTCTAAGTGGTTACTCCACCTCCCTTACCAAATTAGACTAAAGACGCTATGAGTTTTCATTGAACAATATCATCTTCTGCGAGATTTTCTCATTTGGGTTTATCAGATTCTCAAGATCTCTAATCACCCATGCCGATAGTTATTCAAACTCAGGCACAACACGTCACTGAGAGGCCACCATTTTGAACTTGACGACACAGTGCAGCCGATTGAAAGTTTGCCTTGACGTTTTCTCATTTCGCGTATCCCAACTGCAGAACTTACTTACATATTTCATCATATCCGTTCCTACATTATCCGAATGTAACACTCGACTTGAGGATGCATTACATCGCATGCATTACGTCATTTGAACCCAAGTTACACACGACCACGCAACCGAACAATGTGTGCACTTGCAATCTGCGGTTAGTCCACTGCTACGCGTATTATTAATTCGACACATTTATTATTGGTCTCACACCTTACCTACGGAAAAATCTGAAGCATATTCTTTTATCTCCAAGATAAAGCGATAGTTCCATTGTTATTCCACTTGCTACAACCCATTTACTCGCGACTATTGTGACGGGATTTAGCAGTTTGTTGGTGCAAAGAATAAGGTTCCAGCTCATTTAGCAACAGTTACAGTAGCCACAGGGAGATGAAAAACTCTGCACTTGTGCATTGCTGTCAAATGTGACAAGCGGCGGAATCACAGACTGCACGTTAAGAAGTCTGTTTGTACGAATGCGCGGAACTTTATAGCCTCTGCGATCAGTTCAATAATTCCAGCTGGCTCACCGGTTTGTCGTTGTGGACCGTTCGTACACGATGAGTACACTGGGCTGCTTGAGATATACAAGCTTCGGGACTACAAGAAGCTTATGAGCTATTATGTTTGGCGGCATCCGGTTCCGGATTTAGCTGTCACTGTGTCCTCCACGAGGACAGCCATAGTACACCTGCGCTTACAGAGGGATCATGGGTGGCTTGCGCTGCACCACCCAGAACTCCATCCACACACCCCATATCCAGTGTAAACCAGAAGAAATAAGACCGGGAGGCATGTGGATGGGAGCCACGTTTCATTAACGGAGCTGGCCCACATTCCTTCACAGGCAAACACAAGCAAGCCATATTTGAGAATCATGCGCACACAAGACGGGGGCTGGACCGTAGTCCGCTCCACACTGACTGCATGGAACCACTCTTCGAGCCTAGCACGGCCACAAGGACCGTGCACCCCGTGCCCTCCAGCAACGACCAACTGTCTCCTGGAGCCAGTATGGACGAGGTGGTGGGTAATAGACAGGTAGGCACCTTGTCAACATGTACATCAAGCGCAGCCATACCGGACATGTCAATCAACAGCCAATCAACTGCAATAAAATGTCGTATAAAATAGATCGACTACACCGTATGGATATGCCGTTAAAATAGCATATGAAATAAATGGATTATCAAAATTACCATCTTAGGTTCAGGATGGTAGAAAATGGGAACAAGGCACATAGGTAAAGAGAAAAAATAAGCAAAGTTAATCACCTTTATTTCAACCGAAATGTACAATGTAATAGATTATTCAGCTAGTATACTAAATCTATAAAAGTCTAGGGATAAGCTGTCTGTCTATAAGTGAAAAATCGCTAATAAGTGATAGAATGCTTTGTCTCGGACACTTTCAAAATCATTATGCCCAAATTAATTTTGGATTATTCTCGGCTTACCCATGGAACCTAGCCGGTGGAGGTTCCTTTAGCTTTGTTGTGTAGAATGCAGAGTGAGTTGTAACGTGCAATAAAGCGTAGCTGCTTAATCTCTCCACCGAAGCTCTCATCACAACAGATGAAATAGAAGGGCAGAGTTGCGTAATCCATCGGAACCGGAGAACCACTCGTACCTACCGCATGGGCTGCAAATCCGTCATTAGTGAGCGCATGATCAAGTACCAGTGGTTTGTTCACCATTCAAATGCGGTGGGCAAAAGCGACTCGGTTATATGCAAGTAAGTGATCATGGTTTCCTGAGACATAAGCTTGAAATATTAGCTAGTGGTTGATGGCTGTTTGAAGGCGTGAACATTAAGTTCTCTTGTCAATAGGACACGGCATCCAGGTTGGTACAAAATACCATAAGGATAGGAAACTATAGCTCCTTTTTGGGCTTGTTTTTACAGGTAGCCGACGTCAAACTACATAGATAAATCGGCCACCTGCGCATTCAAATCGAGGTTCAGTCTCGTAACACAGCATCTTGCCACGTCATTTACTGTTCCATCATTTTGGATAAGCAACATTGTAAAAAGATCTCGATTGGATATAGCTTGTAGCTAGGCAGAAGTTTCAGTGATCCTAGTGAGAGCCGTGGCCTGAGTGACCTGCTGGCAAGTGTAACTTATCTTTATATAGGCCATAGGTATTAGATCAGCATTTGTGTTGTGTGAACTAATTGGTCTTGGCTTTGAAGCCAGTCGTGAATCTGGTGTTTATCAGTATTTTTCCTTTCTACACAACCTGTGGCGGTACTGTATGTTTGGACAGTCCGTTGAAGCAGCATGCCTCCTGTCCACAACTAACTTCCAGCAGCGGTCTGTTGCGGAGCTTGGACGCGGTTCGTAACAGAATGGGTAGTAAATTTTGGACTACAGTGCAACGTTCGTTAAACTAGGACCTAATCCATCATATTTAACTCAACTTTCGTGCTAACACTAGCCAGATAAAGACAGCGAGAGGGATGGCGATATCGTGGGTTTAACTGAGATAACAACACTGCTCTCGGCCGAGCTTAAGAGATTCGTGATCAAATGGAGTTGAAACACTGGGAAACTGTGAACCACAGTGACTTTTAACCTATTTTCTGATGGCATCCTCTTTTAAGTACAAGCAAAATGTTATGTAAGCATTGAGTTAAGTAAGAACAACTTGGATGGGCCAAAACGATTTCGGAATAAGAAGAATTGGTCTCTTTTCTGAA